AACTTTTTGCCAAAATACATCCTCGGTAGGATCGGGAAAGGCGCCTTCGCATTTTGTTGATATATTATTATTATTATATTAAAATTTATACAAATATTCGTTACATGAATAAATAAATAAAAAAAAAAGTAAATAAATAAAATTTCAATAAATCTATAATACATACTTAAAGTTTTAATTCGAATTCAATAGGATAATGGTCAGTGACGCGTTTCGCGGCCTTTTTAATTATAGCGGTATCAGCTTTTCCCTTCGTCCAGCCTTCGTCAAATCTCCATATTCCAGTTTGACCAATCCATTTGCGCTCATTAGCGACCTCAAAAATAAATCGATCGTATGCTGCATCTGATCCATCAGACACGGTGGTATCCCTATTATGTTGGATTCCCCACATCAAATTGTGCTCTTTCAAGATATTATCAATTTCCGTGCGTTGCGTTTTGTTAAGATAAGATCCTGCAGCATTTAAATCGCCCAAAGTTACAATAGGTTCATTTGTGGTACCATCTTTTGAAAGTCCCATTTGGGACGCTTCTTCGGTAAAATCTCTCGTAGAAATGGGTGAAGATCCAAAACAGCAACAACAATACTGCATGAAAAATGAACGTAGTCCTGCAAATCGCTTTTCTTTTTTTTCGGGTCCTTTTTCCAGCTGCCTTTTTTCTTGGACGATGTCACGTACTAATTTCTTTTTAACGTCAACATAAACTTCGCTAACTAAGGCTTTGATCTCTTCATATGCCTTTTCTGGTTGAGTGTGACATCCAACGAGTGTAATTCTAACATTAGACTTTTTTAAATGTTGAAATCTGGCAACATAAGGCTCTCTTATAAATTTGTCTCCCAACTTGTCGTCGTCGACAACGTAAGCCTCCAAAACTTTCCACTCATTTTTTCGATATAAGAATACGTATCTCTCTTGATATGAGTTTCGTCCGATAGGGTGACTAGCCACATAGTCGTACGGTGTGGCTGGTGTGGACACTTCATTAGCGAGTTGTTGAATGATTTCATCGGATGCGCGAATCTCTTGACATAATATAATGTCGTAAAATCGGAGGATATCGGTAATTATTCTCATGAGTATATGATTAGAAGACTTTTTAGTTCCAAACGCTTGAATGTTAAGGGCACCGATCATGGCAACGTTTTTATTAAAAACGCTAGGCCTTGAAGAGGAGGGAGGAGGAAAAGAAGCCAACAATTCGTCAAGTTCAGCAGGTTGGTCATCGTCTCCGGTTGCCTGTTCTTTACCCTTCTTTCGATTTTTTTTAACGGGAGTGGGAGGGGCTAGTTTTTCCTTATCCAATTTTTCTTCTTTTTTACCTTTGGCACTTTTTTTGGTCGGATTTCTCACTATAATTTTTGGAATAACGACTTTATTTTTGTGTACATAACCCAGAGAAGTTGAAAATTTAAAAATTTTCTGACGACGAGCGCGCCTTCGTTTCCTTGACTTACCACGAGTACCTTTTTTTTCCTTTGATCCGCCTGGGGAAGGAGAACGAGAGGAACTTCCTGAATCATCGGAGCTCGAACTTGAACTGGGTGATTGATGTCTAGAGCTTTGTTCCCCTTCAGGTTCTTCACTGTCGGTGCCGGACGGTTTATACTCTTTATCACCTTTTCGTTGTCTCGATTTTTTTTTTTTTTTGGCGGTTAACTTTCTTTCCTCAGTAGGAACCGAAGTGCTAGGATCATCCTTACTTTCCCCCACTTCTGCTTCCTTGTCGGACGCAGGAACATAATCGTCATCTTTTTTATTTTTAGGTTTTGGAGGCATAATTCTCGTTGGATGAATTAAGGTTTATCGACAAGAGTCGGAAATAAAGGAAAGGAAAGGATGAAAAAAAGAAAAAAAAATTTCAATTCAAAATAAATCTTTTTTAAGCCTTTAACCGGCAAAATGTCATAACAAACATTGAAATGTGAAACAACTAACCAAATCTTTATAACAAGCCAACAATTATGAAATTTGTCATACCTTGGGTCCCTTAATCAATAAGTTTTTAAAGAATTTTTCTATTAAAGGAGTTATTTCCTCATAACTTCGCCACTTTATTATTTCTTCTTGGCATAGCCAGGATCATCGGATCCATAAGCCCGTTTTTGCCAAGCCTCATAATGCGAGATTTTCTAGAAGATCAAACATCATTGATAAACCTTTTTCCATTCGTGTCTATTTTTTAAAACGTGACGAAGATATCGTTGTCTGCACTTATTAGGATGACGGAATATTCTAAAGGAGTAGTGTGACGTTCCATTATGCTTAAATAAAGTAATTTCCATTATATTACGAATATAGTTTAAAAAGCATATGCGAGGAAACCTCGAGATGCTTATCGGACGATATTATTCGTTTTTGTAATTAATTAATTGCTTGAATGCTTTTAAAATTTAGGGTTCCAATCACCGGTTCTCGTTCATTATTTGTGTGATCATCATCACTTTATCAACTCAATCTTTTTTTACGTTTATTTTTTAAATTTCTACGATTTGTAAAAGCGCGAGAATTTTCGATCCTGATCAAGGTTCGCTAGGTTTTCGCTAGAAAGGACCTCGATACCCACGAAATGGTCCCTCGATATGTTTAGTATACCAACATGCGCATGCTTTCTTCGATTTATGACACCAAAAAAAAAAAAAAAATAAAAATAAACTACAAGGACGAGAAAGGATGATTGCGTTAGTTTTTGTTTATATTTTATTTTTATTTTATTTCTTTTTGTATTGATTTACAAAGAAAAAACGTTACCATAATATTTCATGCTCGCATGATGATAATGCATATAATGTTTTCGACACTAGAAATGTTTTTATGCATATTTTCATATTTTTAATCTTCCAAAAAAGAATTTTTTTGTCATCTGTGGTACGGTGATTCCAAAAAAGATGGTTATCAAATATGATAAATATGATGGAAATTTTACATATTTTTGTAGCCGGTATTCATTATCTCTATGATGATGTAAGAAGTAAATCATAGATATTGAATCCGACCGTGCATCGATTGGTTTTTTTTATTTATTTATATAGTTGAATCTAACTTGATGAGTTCAGACCATCACAATTCAAATATATTTTAAAAAAAAAAAAAAAATTAAACAACGAGTCATTTTTTGACCTTTTTTTATCACGTAAGACAAGTTATTTATAGGGAAACACATTTTTTATTAGGATATTTTTTTATTTATTTTTTTTTTTATTGCACGTTTCGAGTTATTGATGTTTTGTAAATACAGATATAAAGGGTCCCATAGACTTTTCTTTTTCGTTATTTGATAAATAATTAATTCCCTTTTAAAAATTAAAAAAAAATTTTTTTTTCTTTCTTTAAAATCATTCCTCATTTACTATTAAAAATATATATATTTTTTTTTAAAAAAAAAAATAGAAAAGGAAAAAAAAAAAAGGAAAAAATTTTATTTTTTTTTTATTTTTTTCCTGCCAGCAAATTTAGAAGAATGGGAAATAATAATTCGACAATAGAACAACCTCTCCAAAGGCAATCATTGAAATCATCACTAAATGGGAAAAGAAGCATACGTTATCCAAAGGGAACCTTCCGCAATAAAAAAAATATAGAATCACAAAATATTATGAGCTCACAGCAAACGATACCTTCTTTAACCGTTGATCCTCGCACTTTACTGAACAAAATTAAATCCTTGGAAAATGAAAATTCACATTCTGATGACGTTCAAGGATGGGATTCCTCGGCTACCTTAAACAATAACACTTTTTCAACAGGATCAACCTTCACTTTGGCACCCTCCGATGAAAGGACATCATCTCCATCCTTGGAAACGGAATCCATAATATCAATCACCCAATCAGAGCGTGAGGTGATCGGGCACTTCACTAAAACTCCTATTGTTGAAGAACCCGATTGTTTTGACGATAATTCTGATCATTCGATAAACATACCGAATTCATCATTATTTTCCAGGGAACATGACAATAGCTCAGAAGAGACCGCCACATTAAATCCATCATTATTTAACTCGGACGAATTTTACACCTTGCCGGAGGTTCACGTAATATCTTTATTGCAACGAGATGACATCGAGATGGCTGAAATTGAGATATGGAATCAATTGGTCGCGTGGGGGGTTAAGAATGCCTTACCAAACTCAGCGAAACGATTATCCAGATGGGATGAGCAGGATTTCGATGCATTAAGGGAAAGATTAAAGAATTGCGTATCCTGGATAAGGTTCTTTCAAATCAAACCTCAGGAATTTGCGGAATATGTTTGGCCGTATAAGCAGATCCTTCCCAAATCAATAATTGGAAATTTCTTAAGGCAGCAAATTACCGGTCACCCTCCAATTATAGAAACTCGTCAAAATCCGCCAAGGATTCCATCCGCCGATATAGATTCCACCGTTATTACCGGCAGACATGCATCGATATTGGCTAGCTGGATGCAACAAGATGATTCAGTGGTTGGAGGGAAAAGTCCTTTTAACTTTAGTTTACTATATCGTGCAAGTAGAGATGGAATGTCATCCAAGGAGTTTCACGAGTTATGTGATGGTCAAGGTCCAACGGTTCTTGTGATCAAAGTGGTTAACTCCAAGCAAATAATTGGTGCATTTAATCCCTTATCGTATCAAAAATCTCGAACTAGCTTGTTACGTAAAAATAAATTAAAAAGGATGTCGACAGATTCTGCCTATTGTGGTAAAGATTACCAAAATGAAAAAGAGGCTAAAATGGGTTCCTTTCTGTTCTCGTTTCAAACTCGTTATTATCCTGAAGAAACTGCTGTGATTAGTCGTATAATACCTGAATGTGTAAATGATGCAATAAAGCATTCTCGGGATGGACCCTGTTTTGGTTTAGGCCCGGATTTATCGATTAATCTAAATGGTGAAAAGAATTGTCAAGTGTTTCCGACTTCTTATCAAAATCCTATTATAAATTTTGAGGGGAAATTCGAATATGAGGAGGTTGAAGTTTTCAGTGTTATGAATATGGAACAATAGATTCTTTCTTTTTGTCAAATATATAATATATATACACGCATTTACTGTATATTTAAATTGTATTATAAAATTTTTTTATCTATACAAATTTATAGTGCGATATTTTTAATAAACGTTTTACACAATTTTACATATCTAATAAATCGAGATGTGGTGCCGTATAGACCCAAACTACGTTTTTAAATAAACATTTTAGTCTTGGTTTCGCCCAAAGACAATTGTTAAATTTTATAATTCCATATGTGATGTAATTGATAAGGTTTTGCGTCATTACCTGGAAGGGCCTTGCAATCCTGTTACGATTATGACACTTGATGATATCATAAGGACGCCTCTCATTTTCCCACTTGTGAGAGTTAAAAAAAGATAGTCTCACAATGTTTTGACATGGAGATTAACCAACCTTTTCCGACTCGTGATCACGAACGTTTGTAGCGTTTAGGCTTTATTTATCTTTTTATCTACACCAAAATGGTTATGTTTGTCGCACGAATTTAATTAATAATAATTTCATTGTGCTGAAACAAAATTTTTTTAAGGCTTATCATTACCACAATGCACATTTTTTTTTTTTTTTTGTGATCCTCCCCTCCGAAAATTTTTTTTTTTTTTTTTTTTTTCTTTTTCTTCATTTAAAGTTTTTTTTTTTTTTTTTTTTTTTTATTTTTTTTTTTTATTATTAGCAACTAGTAACATTAAATAATAAATATGTCACAAGTCAGTACTGTAAATAATAATAATAATAATAATAATAATAATAATAATAATATATCAACAAAATGCGAAGGCGCCTTTCCCGATCCTACCGAGGATGTATTTTGGCAAAAAGTT